GGGAGGATATATATATCCCTTGTGCTAGATATTCCAGCTCTAGGAATTTATCCTAGAAAGTTTTCCCATGTGTGAAAGATATATGTACCAGTATGTTTTGACAGCATCTTTTTTAAAATGACAGATAATTTGGTCCAACCCCATCCCCACTCTACCTTCCCTTTTTTTAAAAAAAAAGATTCATTTATTTATGCATACAGGAACTGGGGTACAGGCCAGAGGTGTGGGGGGTGAGAAGATTCAGCAGAGACAGAGTGGGGAGCAGAACAGGTGGATCTACTGAAAGATACTGCTGAGGGGAGCAGCAGGCGAGTCAGCAGAGGTCTGCTGCACCATGTGGATATCTCCCTGGCCAGCTGGGGATCGAACAAATGCTGCAGAGGCTGTTGATAGCTTCACAGTGCTGTACTTAACCCTTTGTGCCACCAGGGATGCCCACCCCACCCTCCTTTTTGCTATGGCCATCGATGCTGTCAAAACATACTGGTACATATATCTTTCACACAGGGGAAAACTTTCTAGGATAAATTCCTAGAGCTGGAATATCTAGCACAAGGGATATATGTATCCTCCCACCCATTGCCTGTTGCTACATCCAGTGAAATACATAAATCATAAGTGGGCCATCCAACAAGTTTTGATAGTGTAAACCACCACTTTATGAAAACATGGAACAGGACACTTTTGTTCTAGGCCATGATAGTAACAAGAATTGAATTTACCTGATTCCCTTAAACAAGTAAAAAAAAAAAACCAAACTGTGCAGTTCACTTTCAAATGTTGGACACCAGATTGCACAAGACAGGGGTCCCTGAGAGATGGGAAAGTGAAGTGTGTGCTAGGGTGGACCCCAGTTTTTCACTAGAGAGTTTTCAGGCCAGGGACAATCCCAACAGGGCCTCCTTATATACGCCTTTTGTGGACATGTGTTTTTATTTCTCGGGTAAATGCCTAGTTAGGCGTGAAATTGCTCGGTCACGAAGCAGATGTATGTTTAATATTGTAAGACACCACCAGTTTCCCAAAGCGATGATATCATTTTTCATTCTCACCACTGAGATTCTGATTACACCACATCCTTGACATTTGGCCTTGTCAGTATTTTCATTTTAGTCATTCTAGTGGCTTCTCGGTATTTAATTTTCAGTCCTTTCCATCACTGATGATGTTGAGCATTTTATCATGTGCTTATTAGCTGTTTGTATATCTTCATGAAGTGTCTGTACAAGTCTTTCTTGTTTTTCCTTTTTGTTGTTGTTCTTAGCAGCCTGGGTGGGGATTAAACTCAGGTGGCTGTGGCGGTCAGCTTTGAGACTTAACCCCTAGGCCACCAGGGAGTCCCTCTTCCTTTTTTTAAATTGAGCTGTTTGTCTTGAGTTGTTGAAGTTCTTGACATATTCCTGACGCAAGTATTTTATGAGATATGTTTTGAAAACATTTCTTCCCAGTCTGTGGCTTGTCTTTTCATTTCTTAATGATGACTTTTAAAAAACAGGCATCCTTAATTTTGATGTAGCTTAATTTATCATTTTTTTCTTTTAGGGTTTATACATTTTATCCTAAAAAATATTTACATAACTCAAAGTCACAGAGATACTCTGTTATGTATTCTCCTAGAAGATTTATAGTTTCGACTCTTACACTTTAGGTCTGTAATTCATCTCAAATTTTGCATATATGTGAGGCAGTAGCTGAAATTCATTTTTGCCCATTATTCTAATGTTATAACTCCATTGTTGAAGAGACTTTACCTGCCATTATATTCTCTGCCATGCTTGTCAAAACTTACTTTGTCATACCAGTGTGCCAAAGATATATATGTATGCATGAGTGTGTGGTTGATTTTGTGCCAAAGTGCTAAAAGTATGTGAGTCTATTTCTGGACCCTATTCTGTTCTAGTGTTTTCTCAGCAATACTATACTGTTTCAGATACTGTAGTTCTGAAGTAGGCGTGTATATAGTTAATGTTGACGGTACCAAGAGGTCCTCCCAAAAGGTTATGCAAATTCACATTCCTTCCAGTAGTGCGTCAGGGTTTGCTTCTACATTCTTACCAGTAGGGGGCACTATCAACTTTATAAATTGTGGGACCTTTTGCCATATCCATAAATGCCAACACTTACTAAGCTGTTGGGGAGGTAACCAAGATGAGACAATCAAAGTAAATTCCAGACAAATGTTCTTGAAAGCCCAAAAGATTGTCATTTAGATTAGAGTGGAGTAATAACAATAGCAAAGATAGCTTAGTCTTACACAGCAAATCTTACTATGTGGTCTTCGTCATGGCTCAGATGCCACGACACATTCCAAGCTTTGAGAGAGAGAGAAGGGCAAGGAAGGGAAGGGAGCCTTCTCCTACAGGAAGTTCCCAGGATCTGCCACATGACATTATTTATGTCCCATTAAAAATACAAACACACATAGCTGCATGAGAGGCTGGGAAATGTGGGTTTTATTTACCCAGTTCTTGACTTCTCAGGTTTGGGGAGCAGAACAGGTGGATCCACTGAAATACACTGCTAGGCAAGCAGCAGAGAGACAGGAGGGGTCTGCTGTGCCATGTGGGTTACCTCCCTGGCTGGGGATTGAACTCAGGGTGTCGTGATGATAGCACTGAGAATAACCACTAGGCCACCAGGGCGGCTCCCCTCACATAGTTATTATTAGCCCATTTTATAGATTAAAACACTGAGACTCGGAGACCCCAGAGCTGGGAAGCGCCAGGGCCACGCTGCACACCATGATCTGTCCACCCTGGAGTCTGCCATTGAAGTTCATGAAAAATGCCCCTCCTAGCAATGCTCCACAGCAGGTCCAATTCAAGGGCGGGGAAGGATACCCCTTTTAGTTAAGGGTGTTTCTTATGGGGCATCATTTTTAAAAACCAAGAAGTGTGCTATATTTAAATGCATAAGGGTTTACCTAGCTAAATGATGGGTCATCCATGGAACTGATGAAGAAGCCATTCATCCGAAGTGCTCAATGGATGCTTTTATTAGGCATGTTCTGATGTTGAAGGGAGAAAAGGTTAGGATTCAATACCCACCCTCCACCCACAACACACACACACACAGTCACACACACACACACACAGTAGTACTCTCCAGAAGAGGGCTAAGGAAATCTCTCAAAATGTTACTCTCCTTAGAGGATTATAAGATTTCATTTTTTCTCCTTGACGTTTATTTTCTAACTTTTCCACACAGACATTTTTACTTTGATAATCAGATTGTCAAAATGAATTTTATACATTTTTGAAATGCATACTTTTGTGCCCTGATCTTAAGTGCCACTAGGACCCTGGATGTTTTTAGTGTCTTCAAAAAGACGTCAAGGGGAGGTCTCCGAGCAAAAGCAAGTCAAATTGGGGAGGAAACAAAAAATGTCTCTGGTTGGATAGAATTTGAGCACTGAACTGGCTGGAGGCCATTTCACATGCAGTCTTTTTGAGGACACTGACCCCATCTTACTAAGCTCTGCCTCCCCATCTCCTAGAAGCCCATGGCCCCATGCGTTCTAATCAAACACTTGCTCAGGCCTCTCTAGGTGTGGGGACAAGTTCTACACTGAAGATGACTTAGAATAACTGTTTCTTGCTCCCTATCTATTTAGTAAACTGTGTAATACACCAAGTCTACTCTTCAAGAGAGATGTGTGTGTTCTGGGTCTATGTATGGTGAGGGAAGATGCAGGGCGTCTCCAGGCCCTAATCAACCAGCAATGACCCTCAGCCCACCTTGAACAATTACCCAACCTTACCCATCTAAAAGGCCACCTGGGGGCCTCTCTGGTGGTGCAGGCGGTTGAGCGCAGCACTGTGAAACTGTCCGCAGCCTCTGCAGTGCAGGTTCGATCCCCGGAGAAACCCACATGGCGAGCAGACCTCTCCTGCCTTACCCGCTGCTCCCCTCAGCAGTGTATTTAGTCAGTCTATCTGTTCTGTTCCCCGCTGTCTCTTGTGATCCTCTCACCCTCCTGCACATCTGGCCTGTACCCCAGTGTTCTTGTATAAATAAAATATTTAAAAATAAATAAAATAAATAAAAGGCCACCTGTGATGAATCAGGTTTGGAGGTGTAGCGCCACTCCAAGTCCCATTTACAGGGAACAGCATCCCACCCAGTAGACCCAACAGTGCTGGTGATTGCAAGTCCCTGCCCTCTCCCACTCCCAGGCCACATGCTTCAGGTGAGGGCTTATGGGGCAAGCGGAGGGCAATCAATTTCCTCCTTGGAATTTTTCAATGTGGACATGGGCAAGTCAGGCTTTGTATTTAACATGGTGAATGTGAGAACTCAAGCCAGCTTCCCTCCAAGTTACCGGTGACAGAGGCAATAAATTCCTCTCTTCTGCTTATGGTGCATTTTAGTGGATTTCCATTTTTCCCAAATGAGAGCACTGCTCTTATGTTTTTCAATTTTTCTTTGATAACAATATAGGAGTTTTGGAGGATGGAAAGTTTTTTTTTTCTTTTTTTAAATTTTTTTTTTAATATATATTCCCCATACAATTGCAACCCCAATTTTGACCCCAATCCCTCCCCCCCCCACCCCCAAAGAGTGTCTCTGGTTCATAGTTGTTTGCTGAAAAGTTTTGAATTCCTAAACCACATATCAAAATTGATGTGGATCTGGGAATGTCTGGGGGAAATGAATGAAATCCTTTAGATAGGAGACTCCCCTTCTCCCCTGGCCTCAAAGGTCTTCTCAACCTCCCACCCCCGCTTGCCCCCAAGAGCAGCTACTATTTCTTATTTCATGTCAATTAGAAAATCTAACATTCCATTTCGAAGGATCCATGAAGTTTCCCTACCACAAGTGACAAAAAAAATAACAACTCAGTGTACTTGGGGCTGACACCTAAGAAGAAATGTTGAGAAGTAATGGCTAAAGTGTATGGTATTTGGGGGAAAGTGTTCATTTTTGGAAACATAAAGAGTGAAGACACATTAATGATATCCATTCAATTTTCAATTATAATGAAAACACAGTCTCTGCTTTGGACATGTATTTTATTGTTTAGAAATTTCCAGCAGAGCTATCATTAAATACCTTTGTCAGGAGATGCCTGTGAGAATCTAGATTGGAAAACAGGGCCAGGCAGGCCTGTCTGCTCTTCCTGCTAACTCCACAGAACATTGAAACAACCAGCCTGGCTTCAAGGAGTGAGGTGACCGACCACCCGAGGTACAGTCCAGCACCCCCCACATGCGGATGAAGGACAGAAAACATCCCAGGTTTGGAGTTAAGTCTGACCCTAAATGACTTGATGTGCTCTGGCAGTGCCCAAATAGGAAAATTATTACAATAGAATCTGCAGAAAGTCAAATCTCTTGTCATGGCTGTTCCTACCTGAAGTTAACTCTTAAACCTAAGCTTTCTAAACCAGTTGACTATATTATGTTTTTATTCATTTATTTTATTTTAAAAGCAAACCAAGTGTATTCGGTATCTTTTTTAAAAAATCATGTAAACATTGCAAAGTTTTTAGGGATTATTTATCATCTGAAGAGATTTATAAAAAAACTACCGGACTTGTTAAGACTACAAATACTAACCCCTCCTCCCTCCATGAAAAAAGCAATTGTTACAAAAATATAAAAAATATACTAGCTTCTCCCGTTTAACCTTTCCACCAGAAATCTTACAACTCTGGGACACATCCTAATTTATAGACCACACAAGTACAAGTGCAATTTTCTCAATTTTTAAAGGAAGGATTCCCTTTGTTTTTTGAGATTGTGGCTACTTCTTCAGAGGGCGGTAATGTTAGGGTGGGGAGCCTCAAAGTTTCTGCTGCAATCCCCTGCATGGACCCAGCAAGGACATCACAGCCTAGGAGGCTGCTTTCAAAGCTTACTCCTTCAGCCTCTTCAGATTTCTCTTTCCAGTTCCTTTAACTCCATTTTAGGACTTGCTGGGTCCTCAGGCTCCTGGGCGGGCCTTGGCTTTCCAAAGTGCCACCGGGGGCAGCCAGTGGGAGAGGCGGGCACCACACCTGCTGTAGCGCCCACTGTCCAGGTGTGCAGGTTGGGCTGCCACTCAGGTTTGCTAATTCCAGCTGAGCTGCAACCTCGGTGGATGATCCTCCAGAATAGTGACCACCAAAGCCTCAACACATGCTCTGCGGCCTGGGCAGCAAAACACTCTGCATTAAAACATTTTCATTAACTTCAGACTGGGTCACATCTACTCTTCCACTGCAGCCAAGGTGCCAGGCACTCTGACCAATTAAGAGCTAGGAAAAGGACCAAATTCAGTTTGAAATAACTCTGACACTAGGGGATTTGACCACAGTCAGATGCCCCTCCCTCTGGGCCTTTTCAGTGTTTACCTGTCTTTGCTGTCGCCAGCGAGGGGCAATGTATGTAAAGGCTCCATCAAGCCCTGGGAGAAAGGGGTTGCTGGCTAACAGGGGGATGGAGCCACCGGCCATCAAGCAGAATCTTTTCCTGGGACTGGGAAACTGCTGGGCTGTACCCAGTGTTCCTGAACTCCAGGGAGACCTCAAGCTGGGGGTCCCACCCTAATTATGTTCAGGAGAATCTTCACCCCACGGCCCTCATGTGCAGAGTCCTCACTGCAGCTGCATGCTCCCAAGTCGAATCCCAGTTCAACTAGAGTCTGGCTCACATTCCTCCCCTGCAGGAGCTCTCATGACCTTGGCCATAGTCCCCAGTGGCTGCCACAGGCTAGCCTGGCGTCCAGCCACCTTCACATGCTGCTGCTCTCCCCATTCCTGTCTGAGACAGGCTGTTTGCCTCCAGGCCAGGCCGGGGGTCCTCTGAGCCTCCACGATCTTCTAGGCTCTCCTGTTTGAAGGACTAGATTTTCACAACGCTGAGGGTTTTATTTCACAGATCACGGTGATGAGTTTGGGATTTCCAGTCCTTATCGTAGTTAAGTCATACATTTCCCGACACCCTGTTTCTGCAGATCTGCAACACCTCACCCAACACACCCTGATTATTTTAACCCCTAAATGAACTTTCTAAAAGCAACAGAACAGATCAGAGAATGCTGGTCATGGACGCTGAGCAAGTCCCCTCTACTTTGGTTGCATCAAAAAAGAGAAAAAACAGGGCTCTGAGACATCCTCAATTCACATTTGCTAAGTGCTCCCAACATCAAGGCACAGAGAAAGAAGTCTCCTGGGGAAACGACAACGCGACTGGTGACCTTTGTGAGGCCTGAGGCAGAGTCGCTGGGGGAGGTGAGTTCAGTCTGGCCTGGGTGGGCATCAGGAGGAAGGCCGGGGGCTTGGTCTCCCTCTGGGGCCCAAGGAGGCCTCACGCGTACTTCTCCAGGAATTTTACATGAAAATCCTTCACCTTCTGGAGAACCGTCTTCAGCTTCTCCACTGGAGGCAGAATGGTCATTCTGTTGAGAGAGAACAGTGTCAGCCTGGACCCAGTTGCTCTGGGAAAGCAGCAAGCACTGAACCCCAAAACTCATTCCTTCATGTAGACGTGGAAGCCAGGAAGTGTGGCTGGATAGCATCTGGTGCCTATAGAACCCCTTTTTTCTTTTTTCTTTCCCATTTGCACACTTGTTTTCCTGCTAGTACATATGAACAAAAGCAGCGAGCTGGCAGTAGCCTTCTGGCTAAGCCACTGCTACCTCATCACACCATCACCAACATACAGAACTTTCTCTAGAGCACAGAGCAAAATCCACTCCTGCTACACGGGGCTTTTTTGAAATCTCCACCCCACAGTCTCTTACACTGAGAACCTCCAGCCACACCCCTCCCAACAAAGGAATCCCTGGTTGCCATGGTAACTAACCCCCCCACCCACCAGCCCCGCTCCAATAAGATTTAAATGCTCCCCAGCATTAATCACTTCTTGAATGAGCTGTAGAATGTTGAGGTGAACCTAACTCAGGCAAAAAGGTATGCACATGACCTTGCCCACGACCTTGACTGACTCAACACTTGGCTCCAGATGCTAACGAAGCTCATGACATTTCCTTTTTTAGCTCCTGCTGCAGGAGACATCTGAGAGCACCGGGCATGGAGAAAGCGCTGTTCTGAATGGAACGGACTGGCCTCAGTGGGAAACCTGGCTGAGCTGTGCCTGCTCGCGCAGGTCCAAGAGTTTCCGTCTGTGCAGGGACAGGCAAGGCTCACTCTGGGAAGCAAGAACAGCACGTGGAGCCACCTCCGTTGTGCTGTGGATGAAGCACCTCAGCAGGCCCTGAACTACTGAGCGCCTGGATGCTGGATGCTGCTGTTACAGAGCTGAAAAGGGACAGAGAGTAAAGAAGAAAGCACATCTTGGGGAACATTTCAGACGGCACACATGACAGATGCAGCAGTGGAGGGGAGACAGTGATCAAGGAGATGATCTTGGAGACCACCTCCAGGTTTCCCAAACCTGGAGGGGGTCTCGGTAACTTCAGGCCAAGCCCGTACACCTCCGGGCCTTGGAGGCCGGCCTGTACTCTGTGTCTTGTTTCCCAAGACAAACGTGGGGCCAGCCCCGGGTGCGGAGCAGGATTGTACCTGAAATGGTAGGTTCCTTCCCTCTGCCCGAAGCCGCTGCCAGGCACCACGCAGATGCCAGTCTCCTCCAGGAGCTTCATGCAGTAGAACATGTCAGGGGCCATCTTATGGGCCTGCGTGGGGAGCAGGACAGAACTTAGGATTCATTCCTGGCTTGCAACTGCACATACACAGCATTAAACACTCATGGCCAAATATAGTAGAAATTCTTTCCCACAGCAAAGCCTTTCACCCCTCTGCTTCCTACAGGATCATGGTTCTAGGGCACAGTGGCCGGGTAGGGAGGGGTGCTCACACATCCCCAGTGTCCACTTAGCTCTTCACACGGCTGGGCACCGGGCTTCAGGGCACCAGTGCTAACAGAGCCCGGATCAGCACTGCTTCCTGGGACCAACCAGCTGTTGCCCATCACCACAACACACTCAAGGGGCCAGGCCTCTGAGAACCCCTCTGTAAACGTAGCCCACAAAACTCAAGTCTCCAGGGCCAGCATGTTTGCTCCCTGAAGAAAGAAGTAGCCCCCAACCCAGCAATTCAAAGTGAAACCCGGGAGAGCACTGGCGCCCCAGACCTGAGCGGCCTCCACGGCCTTGGTAGGGATGAAGATCCGAGGAAAGGCATACATGGCCCCCTGCAAGGGGTTGCACTGAATTCCCGGGACTTGGTTAAAGAGGTCTTCTGTCAGCTTAGCTTTCTTAGCCAGATTCCCCAGGACGGACTCCTTCTCCTGACGAGACAGAGAAAGCATAGGAGTCAGCACCCCAGAATGGCTCCAGCCACAGGAAGCTCCCTTCAGTGCCAGGTAAGGGGACACACTGGTAAAAGGCGTGTTTGCCATCCACAAGCACTGCAAATCTGGGAGGTGGGCAAGATGCATGCCCCCCTGCAGGAGCTTCTTCACAGATGCTCAGCCACGAGGCTGCCACAAGCCCTGCGGTGCGGGCATGCAGGGAGTTCCTGGCCACAGGTGTCATGGTTCTATTCTCTTACCAGGATGTCAATCCTGAAAACAAGGAAAACCAGTTCTTTCTCAGCAGTCTGAATGGACTTAGCCCTAGATGGAAGATCTTAGAGCAAGCTCCTAAGAAGCAGCCATACCACTTCATTTGGGGCTACCCTTCCCCACTCTCAGTCTGTACGGTGTAATGGGCAACATGACGCAGGAAAAGCAGATCAGTGGCAGGCTCACCGCTGGACATGTGTCCAAAAGCTGGAGCAGAATCAGACCAGGAGGTAGGGCCTGCCCATGACTAGGTGAGCCAAAATGCAGTATTATTCAGTCTTAAAAAGGACAAACCATGGACAAACTCTGAAGACATGCCAAGTCAAATAAACCAGACACAAAAGGGCAGATAATGTATGAATCCTCTTACCTACAGCACCTAGAGTAGCTGAATTCAGGGGCGGGAAGTAGAATGGTGGGCGGGGCCTAGTTTTTAATGGGAGCAGAGTTTCAGTCTGGGAAGATGAGTGGTTCTGGAGATGGGTGGTGGTGATGACTGCATATGGGTGTACTGTATATACTAAACTGTACAGTTAAAAAGACAAAGTTTGGGCACCCACGAGGGCGCAGCGGGTTGAGTGCCACGCTGTGAAGTTGTCCGCAGCCTCTGCAGTGGGGTCCGATTCCTAGCTGGCCAGAGAGAAACCCACATGGCACAGCAGACCTCTCCTGCCTTGCCCGCTGCTCCCCTCAGCAGAGTCTTCGGTCCGCCTGCCTGTTCTGCTCCCCATCCTGTCTCTGGTGAATTCTCTTACCCTCCCTGGCCTCTGACCTATACCCCAGTTCTTGTATAATTAAATAAATCTTAAAAAAAAAAAAAAAAAAAAGGAACACAAAATTCTTTAAAAAAAAAACCAAAAAAACAAAGTTTATGTTCTGTGTATTTTACCACAATTTAAATGAAAATAGATGTGAGTCTGGGAGAGTTGGGAATTGACTTCTTCGTTATATAATCCATAGATTTCTTAGTCTGAGTTGGGTTTTTGCCACTTGCAATGGTCCAGCTGGACCTCTTGGAGCTGTGAGGACATGGGGTTAAGAAAGGGGTAGACCCAAGGCTTAGATCAAGGCCATACCCATCTGTGTCCCCTTTTTACCTTAATTACACAATACCCCAAGGTGTTCTCAGGACACAACGCCCTTCCCTCTGGGTGTCTACCTACCCATAGTGCTCACAGGTGAGGGGAACACAGTGCTCCCCTTCCAAACACTTCACAGCTGCATCCTCAGACAACCTTGTGGGAGTGGGGCGAGCATCATAAAGAACCAGGAGCACCCCCTAGAGGTCACACCCCTAAAGGCAGGCGCCTGCAGCTAGACAGGAGGGGGTGCCAAACACTGGGGACCCCGCCCCAGCAGTGATGCAAACTCACCCTGCTGAACTGCTCGAAGGATTCCTCTCCTGGCACTGGGGGGTTCACAACGATGTCCATGGCGGCCTGCCCAGACACGGGCGGGCACAGGCGCACCGATAGCAACTTCACCAGCTGGCCCTTGATCTCAGGGTGCAGGTTGATCACCTCCATGTAGCCTCCTCTGTAGCCACACCTGGAAGGTAAAGAGGGGGCGAGGACACACCAATCAGAGAGAGTAATGACAAGTAATGACAATTCAGTTGGCCAGAGTCTTCTGCAACCTTCCCCATGCCCAACGCTGAGCAGCCGGGGTAGCTAATTTCTTGTCAATGAAAGGTGAAGGGAAGTGACATGTACACAGTCTACATTGTTTCCTTACAAGGAAAAGGCATTTCTTTCTGTCCTCTTTCATTTTTCCCACTTACTGAGACATGGAGATGCTGGAGCAGTGGCCTCGGTGCCATAGGTAGATGCCACAGCCCCAGTCCTTGAATGCCCTTGGAGAGCAGAGCCTGCCTGGACTTTGTTCACTGTTGGACTATTATGTCAAAGGGAGCTTTACTTCCATCATGCTTGAGCCATTGTATTTTGGGGCGTCTTTATTACAGCAGCTTAGCCTGATCCCTAACTAATACACTAATCCCTGTTCCAAAGGGGCCATTGATTCAGGCCTGGCATCTCCCTGCACAGGCTCCGGGGCTGGGGATGTGATTCACTGATGCCAAAGAGCATCAAGCCTGAAGACTTTTGCTGGAATTTTCTGCTGCCTGGAAACAAGTCAACCCAAAGGAGAACAGAACTGAGAAAGACAGGGAGACAGAGCAGAGACAATATTCCATGGACATCCTAAAAGCCTCTGATTCAACTTACTCCTGGACTTTTTACCTATGTGGATATTAAAAAGCCTCTGGTGTAGGCCAGTTCAAACTGAGTTTCTGTTTCTTACAGTCAAAAGCATTCTGACTGAGGAGTCAAATCACATGAAAATAAGCTGAGATCATGCAGTGATTTAAGGAAAACCTTTCAGAACCAAATCTGGTTTTTGGAACTATGCTTCCTTCTTTGCATTATGATAGATAATGTTCAGACTAAAGAGTGTTGAAATGCAGGCACCCTCCCCCCAGCACCTAACACAATGAGACACTCAATGAAATATTTTTGGGGTTTGGGATCAGACTGCCAAACTGAACTGGCAGAGACAGGTTCCCACCTGATACCTCAACTAGACTTTCCAGGGCTATCAAGCTACTGCCAGCCATGACAGCACGAGTTTGATCCCCCGCCAGGCAGGAAGCAACCCACATGGGGCAGCAGACCTCTCCTGACTCGCCCACTGCTCCCCTCAGCAGTGTATTTCAGTCAGTCTGCCTGTTCTGTTCCCCACTCTCTCGGGTGAATCCTCTCACTCCTCACACCTCTGGCTTATACCACAGTTCTTGTATGCATAAATAAATAAATGTTAAAAAAAAAAAAGGTTCGCAGCACATGATGTTGGCAAGGAGCCAGCTCTGCCACTGAGGCGGACGGAAAAGACTGGCATCAATTCACCCTGCCCACATCAAATAAAGCCAAAGACAGCTAGGCGACCACCCCACAGCTCCCTCCACCAGGCCCACATACTTCTCCAAGCTTCACACTGACAATGGCCTCCTGCTCAATGGGTGAGATTCCATCTCCATCGTGACACCAGGCACACAGTGAAACAGCTGCCATGTAAGGGAATGAAGGCCTCAAGTTGCAAATGCACTGCCTGTCCTCCTCAGTCCCCTTTCCAGGACCCCACTCCTCTCCCAGTGTCTGGGCAGTGAGGGCTCAGCCCCAGTCCTTGGACCTTCTCTATCTATCTGGCCATGCATTGGGCATTTGCAAATTGAATGCCTCCAAAACCATTTCCCCATCTCCCCCAAATCTGCTTCTCTTATAGCTTTCCTCATCTGTCAGTACCTCTATTCTTCCTGCTGTTTGAACAAATAACATGGGACTTTCATAGCCATCTTCTCCAACCAGCAACTCCACCTTCAAATACATCCAGAATCTTCTGCCATGTCTACCCACCCCAGAACCTTCTGACTTGACTGAGTCTCTGCCCTCCCCCATCACCCTGCAATCAACCTAGGAAAACAGAAGCCATGTATCTGCTCAATCCTCTAGTGCCTCGTCTCACTGAGTGAAACAGAACCTAAGCACCCAGGTGATGTGGTCTCCTGTGACTTCTTTGGTCTCAACTTCTGCCACTTTGCTCCTCACTCTGTCTTCCCTAGTCCCCATGCTGCTTCTGGAACATGCCAGATATGTCTTTACCTCTGAGCCTTTGCAGATGCTGTTCCAGCTCCCTGGAATGCTCTTCCCTCAAATACCTACATAGCTCCTTCCCTCCTTTCTTTCAGGTCTTAACTCAAAAGCCAGCTCCTCAGTGGAGCACTATTGAAGCCTGCAACCTCCTAGCACTCCTCTTGGCATCTCTTCTCTAAAGATTTTTAATTTTTCTCCACTTAACACATGATTTTACTCATTTGTCTATTGCTTCTCTTTCCTCCCTAGAATATAAGCTTTGCTCAGTTTTGGATTGGTTGTTTTCAGGTAGCAGAAAATTCCAGCAAAAGTCTTCAGGTTGATACTCTTTGGCACCAATGAAACACATCCCCAACCCTAGAGCCTGTTCAGGGAGATGCCAGGCTTGAATCAATGGCCCCTCTAGGGCACAGGCTAATGTATTAGTTAGGGTTCAGGGTGAGCTGCTATAGCAAAGAAGCCCAAACCACAAGGTTTGTGGACTGCAATGTTCTCAGTGCTGAGATTAGTGGTGAACTTACAGCAGATGCACAGTAAATGTTAGCAGGATGAACGAATACAGGATTCACTGCTTTTTGACCCCAGTGCTAAGGCAAGGTACATGCAGAGCTCACAAAGCTTGGCCCGTAGGCCTGACAGCATCTGTCCTCTCAATCTGCTTTCCCTGGGCCCTCAGACTTCTGTCAATATCAGAACAACAGTGACAGGTCTGGAAAAAAACAGTGGCATTGGAAGGTTCTATAATTTTCATCATTTATCCATAGTTGGGTTTCTTTAAAGCATGACCTTTTTTATACAAGCCTCTGCTCAAGGGCCATCCTTACAACATGGAGCTCCTTGGAGGGAGGGGCTGGGGGTGTAGGCTGCCCCCTCTGCTTCTCACATCAGCAGAAGCAGCAGATACAGAGGGCTGTCTCTGCCCAGTGAGTTCACCTTGGGGCAGGGCAGAGGAGCAGCAGGGCCAAGAAGGCCCAGAGGAAACAGGAGGCAGTGGAGGTCAACATACTCGCCCATGTAGCCCTTGGAGGTGGAGTGGAAGGAGGCGAGCTCCACGTTGCTGGAGTACTCAGGACCCATCTCGTAAAGCACCTTCTTAAATGAGTGGAATTTACAGTCCGGAGAGTATACGTTATCCTGGTACACCTGTAGGACAGGACAGAACAGTCACCCAGAATCCCCCAGGAGCCTGAACCCATGCACGCTGCTATCAAGTGTGGCCAAGGGGGAGAGCCCCTTAGGGCCCTGGAGAGTCAGGGTCAACACCCGTTAGGCTGTGTGCTGTGAAGCCCAACCTCCAGCACTGCTTCCAGGGAAGAGCATGCCCACAGGAACCTTCCAGGACAAACAGCCTTGAGCTGGACTGCCTACATGATTTCTCAGACTCACCCTCCACCCAGCTTCCAGACCTTTCTACCTCATCCAACTAGTGATGACATCAAGAGCTCCTACCTGTCTAGCCAAATTTTCTTTCTGCAGTGAGACATTTACTTTCTTCAAAAGAGGGTCTCCCCGGTGGCGCAGCGGTTGAGCACTGGGCTGAGAAGCTGCCTGCAGCCTCTGCAGCACCGGTTCAATCCCCAGCCGCTGGCGAGGGTCCCACATGGTGTGACAGACCTCTCCTGCCACACCCGCTGCTCCCCTCAGCAGTGTACTTCGTCAGTCTGCCTGTTCTGTTCCCCACTCTGTCTCTGGTGACTTCTCTCACCCTCCCACGCTTCTGACTGTACCCAGTGCTTGTATAAATAAATAAATAAATCTTTAAAAAAAAAAAAAAAAAAAAAAAGGATGAACTCTTGCCATTTGAAAAACATGGATGAAACTGAAGGGATGATGCTAAGTGAAATAAGTCAGGCAGAGAAAGGCAAATATTGCAAAAAAAAAAATATTACTTTCTTCAAAAGATAAATAATGGCGGCAGCTCATGTACCGTGTCTCTGACCTCCCTGCTTGAACAGCTGACCTTGTTGTTCTCTCAGCCTGTTCCAACACCACGTTCACTGCCAGTCTCAGTCTCCCCTAGACTGTAAGTGTGAACAGCACTCACAACTCCACCTCTTCTGTTCTTCCCTATCTGCACAGCTCAGTGATCACAGCAGGCAGGCACCCCGCTCTGCCCTTAGAGATGGACTCCCCACACCCATTTTGGAGATCAGGCACTGTGGTGGACGGGGGGGCAGGAACTTCCTTGCATCACTGCCCAGGGGGACAGAGCTTCCTCCTCTTCCCACTGCTTTGACCTCCCCTTGTCCCCTTGTCCCTTTGCTGCTCTCCCCATTCCCTCCCCTTTTCCCAGACCCAGTGGGGAGGAGGTCTGTGTACCAGATCACAAGAAAACCCATGGGCTACTCTGCTATCCCTTCTCTCCTTTTGAAATGAAGATCTTAGGCACATCTGCTAGTAATCAGGGCAACAATTTAATAAGCTGGGGGTGGGGGGCGGTAGAGAGGCTCAGGAGCAAAGAAATGAAGCAAGTGTGCCAGAAGCTACAACTAACCAGAAATCACTCAGAAATGTTGTGAAACAGGATTTGATAAGCTCTTGCTTGCAAGGTAGGCAAGAACAGGCTCCAGAATGGGGTTCAGAATGGGGTTAAGACTCCCCTCTTCATAGGCTGTGAGAACTGAGATGGTGGATATGGAAGCACAGGAAGGACAGGATCCCGGCAATAAGCTCAGCCAGCACCAACTTTCTCTCCAAAGATATGAGCCCCTCGATTTGACCTCAGGGATCACTCTCTTCTCTTCTCTCCTCCCTGGTCTGGAGCAGCACAGGGCAGAGACCCTGTTCCTTGCTCAATGCCTGGTCTATTTGCATATTGTAACTGACAGGCCACAGTGATTGGTCCAGCAATGGGCATCTGACCCAAGCTGCACCAATGAGGCTCAGCTCTGAGATGTTTGCTAGACCCACCAGGAAGAAAGGCTCTCTCTCCAGGCAGGGAATATAGCAGGCCCTTGTTAGGCCAATGCAGCAGAATGGAATGAGGGAGAATATGGAAGATACAGTTCCCACACTGCAATCAACACTTTTTTTTCTTCTTAAGTTTAAAGTGGTTTGAATTAGATTTAGGTCACAGACTCTTAAGCTGTTACATTGAATTAACATCCTCATCCCTGGTTTGAAAACTCTCTAGACACAGAACAGTCAGGCCTGCATTGCTCCCACTGCAAGTGAAAGCTCACCTTCACCCTTCTCTGAGGAGAGCGTTAGGGCCACTCTTACCTCATCAGCTAGGAGAAACAGCTTCTCTTCCCAGGCAAAGTGAATCACATCTTCTATGCACTTCCTGCTTTGCACCTGACCTAAAAAAAAAAATCAACAAAAAACAAAACCAGAATGTAGGTTGTAATGCTGTTTAAATAGTCCCTAGGTAAGAACCCAACCCAGGGTCGTGTCCAGGGAGGCTGCTGGGGCAAGGCCTCATCTTACACCAGCACGGTACTGGGACAAAAATGACACACAGACTAATAGGATAGAATGGAGAGCCCAGAAATAAAACTACACATATATGGACAACTCATCTATGACAAGAGACAAAGAACATGCACTAGAACAAGGGAAGCCTCTTCCAATGCAGGGAAAGCTAGACTTCCACATACAAAAGAATGAAGCTTGACCACTACCTCACACCATGCACAAAAACCAACTCAAAATGGATTAAAGAACTAGACATAAGACCTGAAACATAAAATACATAGAAGGAAATATAGGCAAAACACTACGTGACATGCACCTCAAAGACATCTTTACAGACACATCACCCAAAGCAGTGATAGTGAAGGCAAAGATAAACAGCTGGGACTACATCAAATTAAAGAGCTTCTGCACAGCAAAAGAGACAATAACAAAAACAAAGAGAAACCCCACCGACTAGGAGAACATTATTGCACACAACACTAATGATAAAGGACTGATCACAAAAATCCACAAAGAGCTGATGAGACTCAACAAAAACAAAGAAAATAATCCAGTCAAAAAATGGGCAGAAGAGCTAAAAAGAAACTTCTCTGAAGAGGAAATGCAAATGGCCAACAGGCATATGAAAAAATGTTCAACATCACTTGTAATCAGGGAAATGCAAATCAAAACTACCATGAGATACCATCTTACACCAGTGAGAATGGCACATATTAAAAAAACTAGCAACAACAAATGTTGGCGAGGGTGTGGAGAAAAAGGAACTCTCCTGCACTGCTGGTGGGAGTGCAAACTGGTCCAACCACTATGGAGAGCTGTGTGGAGATTTCTTTTTTTTTTAATTAATTAATTAATTTTTAAAAATTTATTTATTATTTATACAAGCACTGGGTACAGTCAGAAGCTTGGGAGGGTGAGAGAATTCACCAGAGCTAGAGCGGGGAGAGAGCAGGCAGAAGGACCGAAGTACACTGCTGAGGGGAGCATAGGGCGGCAGGAGAGGTCTGCGCACCATGTGGGACCATGTGGGACCCTCCTCCGGTGGCTGGGGAGCAGCCGGGGATTGAACCGGCGCTGCAGAGGCTGCGGGCAGCTTCGCAACCCAGCGCTTAACCGCTGCGCCACCAGGAGGCCCTGTGTGGAGATTTCTTGACCTACTAAACATAGAGCTTCCATAGGATCCAGCAATTCCACTCCTAGGTATTTACCCAAAGGACACAGAAACATCAATTCCAAAGAGCACCTGCACCCCTATGCTTATAGCAGCACTGTTTACAATAGCTAAGCCTTAGAAACAACCCAAATGCCCAAAAATAGATGACTGGATCAAGAAGATGTGGAACATATACACAATGGAATATTACTCAGCAATCAAAAAAGAAAAACTCATGTCATTTGCAGCAACATGGATGGAGCTGGAGGGATCATGCTCAGCGAAATAAGCCAGAAAGAAAAAGAAAAGTACGAGATGGTCTCACTCATAGCAGGAATCTAGAAAACTTAAATAAGGGGTAAAATAAGGGGGTTGTAATTGTATGGGGAATATAAAAATAAAATTTAAATTTAAAAAAAAAAAGGGTGGTGGGGATTGTATGGGGACTATAACCAAGATGAAAATGCATACATTGTACAAAAATGAAAAATGATGTAAAAAATACATAAAATATGGGCCTCCCCGGTGGCGCAGCGGTTGAGCGCTGGGTTGCGAGGCTGCGCGCGGCCTCTGTGGCGCCGGTTCGATCCCCGGCTGCTCCCCGGCCACCGGAGGAGGGTCCCACATGGCGCGCAGACCTCTCCTGCCGCCCGCTGCTCCCCTCAGCAGTGTACTTCGGTCCTTCTGCCTGCTCTGCTCCCCGCTCTGGCTCTGGTGAATTCTCTCGCCCTCCCGCGCTTCTGACTGTACCCAGTGCATGTGTAAACAGGGCAAACGGACAAACCAGCGGACAAATGGATGAAGCGTGCCTCTATGGAAAAAAAAAAAAAATACATAAAATAAAAAAAGTTTTACAAAAATAATAACAAAAGAAACTTGGTTTTCTGAGAAAATTAAAAAAAAAAAGATGTGGTATATATACACAATGGAATATTACTCAGTGATCAAAAAAGATAAACTCATGCCATTTGTAGCAACATGGATGGAGCTGAGAGGGCTTATGCTAAGTGAAGTGAGCAAAAAGGAGAAAGATAAATACTGATGGAATATAGAGAAAACCAAACCGAGGGTAAAACAAAGACAAACTTTAGGGCCTCCCTGGTGGCACAAGGGATTAAGTCTCAGCACTCTGTAGCATGAGTTCAATCCCCAGCCAGGGAGCAACCCACATGGCCTCTCCATTTCACCCGCTGCTCCCCTCAGCAGTGTATTTCAGTAGATCCACCTATTCTGTTCCCCACTCTGTCTCTGGTGAATCTTCTCAAACCCCCTCCACACCTCTGGCCTGTACCCCACCTCTTGTATGCATAAATAAAATAAATCTTTTTTTAAAAAAAAGACAAACTTTAAAACCAATCCTTGAATGTTGACCATAAATCGGGGGCATCAAGGATGGGGAGACCCAGGGAAAGGGGGAGGGGAGAAAAGGGGGTGGCGGGGTGGGGGAGAACACAGTGGACTATGGTAAAGGACTATGGGTGCTTTGGTGGTGGGAGAGCCACGGTTACCACACCTGAGAGGAGAAATCCTATCCTGTCAAAATATTAACAATAACGTAAAACAGAAAAAAACAGGGGTGGGGAGGGGTCGAAGAAGCAGACCCAATGGCCTGTGGCAAAGGACATGGATGCCTTGGTGGTGAATGTGGTGTGGTATGCCTGAGAGGTAGGAAGCCAGACCTCTGAATCTATACGGTGTTCTAAATCAATGCCACCTCAATAAAAACAGATAAATAAAAGGGAGGGGGAAAAGGGAAGGATTAAATCAATCAGCTCAGCTCCTCCCAGCACACCAGCAGGTAACGGAGAGGACACATTAGCCGGCTGGAGCTAGTACACTTCTCCCTTACCGTGCCTACGGCGGTGCACAGCGCCCCCGCTAGGCAGGGGAGAGGACTGCACCAATCACTGGTCACCCTCAAAGCCAATGGCAACAAGTGCACAATAAATTTGTGTGGAATGAGCACCCCATGAATGAGGCTGCACACCAGTGCTGGCATCCCATCAGTGAGACGTGGGAGCCAGGCATCTTCGGGGATGCTGTGCACCCCAAGGTTCCCCCCTTCAGGGTCATGGTTTAGGTGGGAAAGGAATAAATGCAACCAGGTGACTGTGGAACCTGCTCCCAGTATTTCCTCCGACCTACGTGAGCATGACCCTGGGATGCCTGGGGCACTCACATGCTCTCTGGAAAGCACTGCATTGGTCAGGCTGGTAACTTCTTCACTATAAGCAAGAAATAGATGTGTATTTCTGGATATTAAGTACATACATGTTTAGGTGCATATGCATTATTTATATCTTGATGCAGAATAATATGCAGAGTATTTTGTCAAAAACAAAAACATCTTTTTTTTTTAGCCTATGTGAGACTGTCAAGAATATGTCTGGAGAAAATAGAAAGACAATTTTTCTAAGAGCATGCAATGATTCAGCCAGGATTTCAGGCTTGTACTAAGCAAGGAACCAATTCCTGTATGAAGGGTTTGACTCTTCTCTTGTCAAGCAGCACCAACTGGACTTCCTATGAAGCAAGCTCAGGTTCTGGGATTCTGAGAGGAAAGCCCTCGAGTCTCGAAGGAAGCAGCCACCGTTCCCTCTGATAGATTCTGAGGGATACATTCTGGAGCCTGCTGCAGACCCTCCTAGTGTTGTCCTCTCGTGCCTGAAATTCCACAAACTGTATACTGTTATGTGCAGCAAAGATTTGAGCACCAAGAATCTCAAAACCATGTTCACATAATGCTAAGAGGAATGCAAGGAGAAAAAGAGCAAGGACCTGGGCCTCAGAAAGCCTACAGTTCAGTAGACTTGGTCAGGCTGGTAACAGTTAAGTAGAGAAAATGACATCCACCATACACAAACAATTCCAGTGTGCGCATGCAAACTTGAGGACAAGAACAGAGCTTCTTTTTCTCCAGTCCTAAGGACACAGCAGTACTTAGACATGCCTGTCGAGTTGAGGAATGGACAAACACATACAGTGCTGCAGAGGGGAAGGAAACATGACTTTGAACAATGACACCCATTCAGCTTCACCACCTGGACATTACAGTTCTGTGACCAGACCCCTTTACTCCTGAGCTGGGGGTTCTGCCTTGAAACCCAAAGAGCCCTGGCTTAATATCCCAGTCCGTGTTGGCACCTCTCAGGCAGTGGTCACTGTGTGTGGTCCAGACAAAATTCATAGTCATCATGGTCTGTTGCTATTTTCCAAACCCCCATCTCACATTAACTGACTGTTTTTTACACATTAAGACCCCAGGGAGCAAAACCAGCCTCTGTCAACTCATAACTTTTTAAAATGATTTACCCTAGCATACACTTACACGAATCCTTTGACTAAAACAGGAAAGTCTGTGGTGCAGTCATTTCTTCCCAGACACCAGGTAAAGATTTATGTAAACACCTGGTCAGGAATAGCAGGCTCTCCAATACAAACTAGGTGTCCGGAGTAAGATGGAGGACTTGGCTACAAGTGCGGTTCCAGGGCTGGTAGCATCGGCACCACCTGGCAGCTTGTTAGAAATATAAATCCTTGAGCCCAGCCCAGCAGAATTTCCAGGAGTGGGCACAGAATTCTGGTTCTTAACAAGCAAAAGCAATGGTTCTCACCCTCAGCTGCATAGAATTATTGCTGCCAGGGCCACTGTCCCCAGAGATTCTGGGATGTGACCTGGCCTCTGGGACTTTTTAAAAGCTCCCTTTGTGATTCTAATGTGCAAGCCAGCTGTAGATCATTTTCCTACTGCATCATGGTTAGAATCTTTCATCCCTTCCCCCAAGATGGGGTAAATAAACCAGTGTTCCAGCCAGATGCACCCATTTTCTGCACTCAGGAATTCAAGTGGTGCTTTCAGCTGATTAAAGCATCATTCGATGTTCCCGAGAAGCAGATTCCACAATTAACTCCAACGCATTTTGGCCCTGACCCAATTTATCTCAACAAAGGAGGAGAGAGGAGCCCTTGTTCTCTGCATCCAAACAGCATTGGGGGTATAGGAAGCCAGCAGCCCAGAAAGATCAAAACAGGCAGGACTGTGCTCTTTGTTGTTGTTTTTTTTTTTTTAAAAAAAAACAAAAAAAAAAGATGCAAAATTAAGAGTGTTTTATAACTTGCAGAAACAGGTTTTTGGGTTTGTTTGCTTTTGTTTTTAATATGGCATTTCCTTCTCAGGTCTCAAAGTACACAGCAATGTCGTGTCAAAGAAAACAAAAAATGCATACACCAGCATCCTGGAAATTGGTTCAGAAAAACAAGGAGCGAGTCTCAAACAAGGAGCCAGGGATTACTGGTGACAGTTTGTGTGAGTGACCTCAAGGAGGGGATACTTTGCCAATGTGAGAACAGGAAAAAACTGGTCTTTGAACAATACAACCCTGACCAACAGAATGCCTGCATTTGCTCATCAGCCAAGGTGGCCTGAGGCAAATTTAATAGCTTTATGTTACCAAATCTGGAATTGGATTGGGAAATTGGGAACAAAGAGAGGACTTTGCATTACTTCTTAACTCATTGGTGTTTAGGCATGCATTGAACCAGCTGCCGCGCCCCAAAGAATTAGTAAGGAAGTGAAGTGCAAACCTGTGGGATTCCCAGGGTTGATGATGCACAGCACCTTGGGGTCACAGTGCTCTTTGGCCTCCCGCACCGCCCGCCGGAGCTCGTTCACATTCAAAGCCCAGCAGTTGTCCTCGTCCAAGTAATAGTTCACCTGGATGGCGTTGAGCTCAGAGATGACCGCTGAGTAGAGGGGATACTGCGGGATGGGGATCATCACCCCCGTCCTCGACTTGCCACGCCCAGAGACCAGGATTTTCAGGATTGTCTGCAACCGAGAAGTCACATCTACAGTGTCAGCGCGACTCCCCTCGCCTCAAGGGCTGACTCCAGCCTGGCCCCAGCCACCCCACAGCCTGCCTTCATTGCAGCCCTAAACAAGGCTTCCTCCCAGTCTTACTTTCCTTATCTATAAAATGAGATCGGCTGTGAGGACTGAGCAACATAAACTGTTTTAAATTCTTAACACAGGGGCCTCCCTGGTGGCTCAAGGGGTTAAGACACAGCACTATGAAACTACCCACAGCCACTGCAGCATGAGTTCAATCCCCAGCCAGGGAGCTACCCAAATGGTGCAGCAGACCTCTCCTGTCTAGCCCGATGCTCCCCTCAGCAGTGTACTTCAGTAGATCTTCCTGTTCTTCTCCCCATTCTGTCTCTGGTGAATCCTCTCACCCCCTGCACCTCTGGCCTACACCCCAATTTTTGTATGCCTAAATAAATAAATCTTTAAAAAAAAAGAAAAAGTTCTTAACACAGTACTTGGCATGTGAAGACTCAATTCTTTCTAAAGAGAACTAAAGCAGTGCTCTGCAAACTGGCCTTTCTCAGAATTATTCTGACTTCACCCCTGAAACTCATTCCAAATGGCTGGGATGGGGCTCAGTACTCTGGTCAGTAAATTACCTGTGCCCGACTTTGGGAAGACCCCTGCACAAGAGAGCATTGTTGCAATGGGATAAATACTCATCTACTACCACCAGGTGGCGCTTCCACCCGTTTCCAAAGCTGAGTGGGCAGGGCGCGTGGGAGTCCTGGGAGAACTGGTAGAGGTGGCACTTATTCATTGAATTAATAAGCCAAAGCCCTCTTCTCGGAGACTTCCCCGCTTACACAAGGGCTGAGGTCCTTTCTCAGGTTCAGTTCCCTTGCTACAAGATCGCCACGAGACTGAATAACTCAATGACTCGATTCTTTTCAGTAAGAAGGCATCTCCCGGCTCCTACAGGACCTCTGCCTGCCCAGGCCTCTCCAGGACTGGATGGAGGCCCTGACAGCAGAACACAGCACAGTTCTGACAGCAGACCACATAAAAGATGCTGTGGCTGCAGACTGGAGCCTCAACGCTCCAGCACAAATGTCACTGAAGCCGACTAAAAGCAGGCAGGCCGCTTGCTGTCTCTGGGCTCCAAACAGAATGTAATGCACTTGAAAGGCTTTGAAAAGGATTGAAGCACTCAACAAATACCAAAACAACAGCCTTTGAGGTCAGGAGACACAAAGATAACCCTAAGAAAGTAGGAATCACAGCACTGGCTCCGCGTAGGGAGAGTGAGCAGGTGGCACCAGTACCCACCAGGTACTGCGAGGAGTGTGGTGCAATGGAAAGAGCCCAGCTGCTCCCTGGGCAGAACACCAGACAGCACAGCCTGCAATGGGCAGAGGCCACAAGTGCCTGCAAGCCTGGATCCCAGACTCCCCCTGCTAAGTGACCCTGACCCCGAGCCTCTTCTTACATCCTCAACAGCACCCCTGCCCACATCACCTCTTCCTTCACTTCCTAAGCGTCACCTCACTGCCAAAGTTAAAACTGATAAACCACACCCTTCACTGGCTTCCTAGTGCTCTCAGGCCAACCACACAGTCCTCACTGTGGCCTAAAGCCCTGCAGGACTCAGAGCCCCATTCTGCTGCCCCAGCCCATTTCTGGTAACTCTGCCCCTCACCAATGATTTAGTAATGGCAGTGTGCTTCAGCACCAGCGTGTAAATGGAGACCAAACGTGTTTGGCTCCCTGGCACCCCAGTGCCCAGGGGAGAAGCAACACTAGCAATGCTGAGTGAGACAGGCCCATGCCACCAGAAAGAGGGACACCCTCCCGAACCCTTTCTGACTAGACCTACTGGAGGGAAACTGAGGCTGCAGCAGTACTAGAGTTCAGAAGACTGAATGCGCCAAGGACCATGGCAGGGTAGACAGCAGGAGCCAGAGGGCCCCCTCTGGCCACCCACCTCTCCACCCCAGGCCTGTTTCCCCGCAAGCAGGCTCACATGTTTGGCCCTAACATGCAAGGCTGTTCTTCATAAGGGTGAACACAGGCTCATGACGGGCCTCCCGCACACGTACAGTAATGCCATCGCTAGCTCCGGTGGTTAGGTAAATGTTGTCTGGGTCCGCAGGCACGCCATCTCTCCTGGTGACATAGGCAGCCACGTCTTCTCGGATGCAGTTGACGCCCTGGCTAGCACTGTAAGATCCTGTAAGAGAGCAAGTGAGACAAGTGACTGCAGGCACAAGGTCTGGCTCCATAGCTGGTGACAACCATGTCATTTACTAGAAGGGAAAAGACTAGGGAGGTCTCAGGTAGGATCCAAACTCCCATTACCCTAGGCTTTTCACTGTGGCAAGTTGCTTAGCCTCCCATCTGGGCACCATCTACCCATCCTCTCATCTATCCATCCACCCACTTATCTACCCACTCACTCATCCATCTATCCGTCTGCCCACCCATCTGCCCATCTGCTCATTCACTCACACACCCATCCACTCATTCACCCAATATCTACTGAGAACCTACTAGATGTCAAGCATTATTCAAGGCTCTGGCTTCTAGTTGGTCGGATGGGGCACATCCCCATTTCACCTATTCTTCTGGGATTATATATGTTCTATGACAATGTAAGTCATAGCTAGGATAAGTCCACTCCTACACATGGCTCCAGAGAACCAGAGGGAATGTGTAAACCCCAAATGGTACCATTTGCCGGGCTAGGAGTCGGGAACCCTGACTAGCACTAACCAGACCCCTGGGGCTGCTGGGCATGAACCCTCCTATCACCACCCATGTCCACAATATCCTCTGACTGCCATTTAGGACTGTAATCCAGACCTTGTCAAAATGAAGTTCAAAAACAGGGAAAGCTAATGTGCTAGAAGTTAGCCCAGTGGTGACTACTCTGGGGTGGAAGTATTGACTACAGAGGCACAGCAGAGCCTTCTGGGGTGCTGGAAAGGTTCAATACCTTGATGTGGGTGAGGCTGAGACAAGTGTGTACATTTGCAAAGATTATTCAAATTGCACATAAATATTTATGCATCCTACTGCGTGTCTGTAATACCTCAATAAGAAAGTTTGTTTCCCCCTAATATCAGGCCACTATTTGTGTTTTTTTTTTTTTAATTGGAAATATATCCTTGTACATACATAAAATCCCTCTTGAAGAAGACAAACTGGTGAGGTGATTTCTCTGAATAAGTGAATCAGAAGGCTGGGGCCAGAGGTGGGAGGCAGATTTTTCACTCTATACCACTGGAATCTTATATTACATTTAAAGAAAACCAGCCTATTCCTTCCAAGGTTATTGCCAAACCAACATTGGCAGGTATGATGGGGCTCTAGAAAGCAGCTGGTTCTTCCCAGAGCCTCTGAGCACATCAGTTCAGGCCCAGCACTCCGAGGTACTAGGTTTAACATGCTGACTCAAAGAGCAGCTGCTGGGTTTCTGCCTCAGCCTCTCTGTGCAGCATTGGCCTCACCCTGTGACCAACTGTAAAATGGGGGTGGGAGAGAAGGAAGGCTGGCTCAGCTCTCTAAGGCTCAAGTGACAAACATTAATGGATTAAGTCTGCATCCTTTGTTGTAATTTGGGGTACTGTAATACATTTGAAATATTTTGTAAATTAAAAAGTCGTGGGCCTCCCTGGTGGTGCAGGCGGTTGAGCGCAGTGCTGTGAAGTTGTCCACAGCCTCTGTGGTGCTGGTTCAATCCCTGCTGGTCGGCGAGAATCCCACATGGCGCGGCAGACCTCTCCTGTCTCGCCTGCTGCTCCCCTCAGCAGTGTATTTCGTCAGTCTGCCTGTTCTGCTCCCCACTCTGTCTCTGGTGAATCCTCTCACCCTCCTGTGCATCTGGCCTGTACCCCGGTGCTTGTATGCATGAATAAATAAATCTTAAAAAAAAAAAAAAAAAAGTCGTGAAGTTCAAATGTTGGTGTAACAAATTCCTTTCTCCACTGGGTGACTTATTTGGTATTACTGAGTTCCTGTACTCAGAAACTTTCTAACGCCCCATATTTCCCTTTGCCTTCTTTCAGCACCTTTCCCTCCACTCCATTCCACTCGCCCAGTCTCCTCTCCTTGCTCTGAGTGCACCAGCTTCCTTAAATTCCCAGGTGTCCACCAACTGGCAGCCTCCCTTTGGCTTTGCCCAATGACCTCCCACCCTTTTCCTTCAGGTTTCATGTTATGCTTCAAAGCATATCTGTCCTTCAAAGCTCAGATCTACAGGCCTCCCAGGTGGTACACGGGGTTAAGCACAGCTCTGTGAAGCTATTGGCAGCCTCTGCAGCATGAGTTTGATTCTAGGCCGGCCGGGGAGCTACCCACATGGTGCAGCAGACCTCTCCTGTCTGGCCGCTGCTCCCCTCAGCAGTGTATTTCAGTCAGTCTGCCTGTCCTGCTCCCCACTCTGTCTGTGGTGAAACCTCTCACCACAGCCCCCGCCCCCCACCTCTGGCCTGCACCCTAGTTCTTGTATGCATAAATAAATATTAATCTTTTAAAAATATATATTTGTGTGCTCGCTTCGGCAGCACATATACTAAAATTGGAACGATACAGAGAAGATTAGCCTGGCCCCTGCGCAATGATGACACACAAATTCGTGAAGCGTTCCATATTTAAAAAAAAAAAATAAAAAAATAAAAAAAATAAAAATATATATTTGTTTCTCCCAAATCTGATGGTGTGCTTCACAAGCATAGGCACCATCTGGCTGGTTCACCTATGTTCTCAGCAACGACAACAATCGACAGTGCCTGGGACACAGTGTGTGCTCAGGGAGGCACTGAATGAGGGCCCCTGGGTTTCTCCATCTCCCTCTTCCCCTATGGGGAATCTAGAGTTCAACTCAATATCCTACTCAAGATCTAGAACATGGGCCTCCCCAGTGGCGCAGCGGTTGAGCGCTGGGTTGCGAAGCTGCCCGCAGCCTCTGCAGCACCGGTTCGATCCCCGGCTGCTCCCCGGCCACCGGAGGAGGGTCCCACATGGCGCGCAGACCTCTCCTGCCGCCCGCTGCTCCCCTCAGCAGTGTACTTCGGTCCTTCTGCCTGTTCTGCTCCCCGCTCTGGCTCTGGTGAATTCTCTCACCCTCCCACACTTCTGACTGTACCCAGTGCTTGTATAAATAAATAAAATTTAAAAAAAAAAAAGATCTAGAACATAATGTGAGAACCAAATTACTCATCAAACACAACAAATGAGGTTCTAGTAAGAAATCATTTTAAAGGGCACGATGGGAAGGTGAGCTCATGTCTAGGTGAGCTCAAAGATCTCAAGTAAATTTTCAGTAACCACACTTGGATTAGAGTCATCCTGGGGCACACGAACACTTTCCATTTCTTACTTCCCTGGGCAGGTCCCAGCCGCCCAAGGCTTAGCTGACAGAAAGCACCACCCCTCACCACTCAGGTCACAGGTCAAGACACGTGTCACCCCTGCAATGGGCAGGGCCTGGTCATGACCCCCATGGGTGGGGCTTCTCCACACCTGACAAGAGACTTCTGCAAATTGTCAACCTTCCTTGCAAGCCCAGGGTGAGTACAAAGTACTTCTAGAGCCAGGATGAGGAGGGCAGCTCAGAGGCCTCACCTGTGTTCACAAAATCCTCAGAGAGAACTCAGGGCAGGTCTCCCAAACCCCACAGGCCAAATGTTCTCTTGCTATACTACCCCAAGAAGGGACTGGCAGGAACAATGGCCTCCCAACCCATTCCCAGCCCTGACTGACACAGAGTTGCAAAATCCTGTTGACTAAGCTTAGTAAGTGAAACAAAGACTCCCCCAGCCTCCTCCAGACATTCACATCAGACACACAGAAGGCCAACACCTCCGCCCCGCCTCTTGGTTGTGGCTTCCAAGAGTCTCAGGCCCACTGCCCGAGTTATTTGAGAAGTCCTTTGTCCTCTGGGCTGCACCATGGGTGCAGGAGGATCTGGAGCTTGGAAAACAAGCCTCCAGCCTGTCGGTTGCTCTGCCAGCTCATGCCTTAGCTCTTGCCACAGAAGGTGCTGACCCACACCGCATCCTGGCTGACACGCAGGAAATCCAGGTCCTGCAACCTACCTGATTAGGACACCATTAAGAACAGTTGTCCAGACTGAGACAGGGGGCTGGTTGGGTGGCCACAGCCAGGAAGTTTAGCCTAGGGCTCTTGATGAAGGGCAGAGCCGAGAAGGGGAGGAAGGAGGGAGGAGATGTCAGAGAGGCCAAGGGTGGCTGACCCCTTACTGAGGAAGCCATGGGACTCCCTGTCCTACCTTCTGAAACATTTAGGTGCATATCCTAAAAAAGCACCAAGAACAACCATTTTCCTCAGGGCAGGGGAAGCTGGTTGCCCTGTGGAGGCGCTGGGTGAATAAATGAGGCAAAAACAAACAGAAAAAAGATGAGAGCAATGAGCCAGAGGCCTGGGGGCTGAAACTCTACCTCCAGCAGGGAAGGAGAGAGAATATCATTTTCGCATCTGCAGGGGCCAAATTCCAGGTCCATGGAGGCCTCTGGTGCTTGGTGTGCTCCCCTCCTAGGCAGCGCCCGGGCCCCCAGCAACGAGGAGCAGAGGCGGGGTGATGGGAGGCAATGAAATGGGAGACCGGACAGTCTGAATGAAGCCATCACAAGAGGGCTGGGGCATCTTGCAGCACTTCCTTCCCCAATGACTGACTGCCACCCCCCCAACGTGGGACGTGTGTCCAGAGCTGGGGGCATAGAGAGGCAGGATGCTGAACACTGGCCTCCCGCTCCCGCGAGGCCAATCCCCGTGAACCCTTCTGCCGTGATGGAAGGCTCAGCGGTGGAAGTGGCTGCGGGTATAAGACCAAAATTGTGCCCCAAGTTCCCCCACTGATTGGTCTCCCGGGCTCAGCACACAGGAGGCTAACACAGAAGAGCACGGGCAGAAGAGGAACACTACGTTGCATTTACTCTGCACGGCCACCACCCCACACACAGTCACTCGCAGGCACAGCCTCCACGCAGGTGGCGCCTAGGCCCACACTGAGCACACATGTTCACTTCACACCCCCAGGACCGGGCAAAGTCGGGGCCTCACCCAGGCTGTTCCCGCCACAAGCCTGCAGGATCCGCCGGGCTCGTTTCTTAGCATCTTCTGGGAAGCTGGGGCTGTCCAACAGGTTTGGGTATGTGCAGAGTGCCATCACCTGGGGGAACAGAGGCGAGGCTGGGCTCCCAGTACCCTCTACCCTGGAGCCCCGGGAGGAGCATGAGGGACACTGGGCAGGAGACAGAGCAAGGAAGACAACTCTGAGGGGCAGGGGTAGCAGACCTCTCTAAGAGGACTGGAGTGAGAGAGGGGGAACCTGGGTAGTCTGCAGCAGAAGGGGAGGTGGTAAGAGGTGGGGTGCATCATGACTCGGGTGGGCTTGGAGCCCAAGGGTGTGCTGTCAAAAGAGGAGGCCACTGAGGCACTAGCCCCAGTTCATACACGAAGGACAGCAGCTCGTGTGGCCAAGGCCATAAGGACAGGGAGCAGGTGCCTGGGCTGAGCAGGCAGGTGAACCAAGGAGGCAGGAGAGGACCTCAGAGCCCCCTCAGCTCCCTCCCTAGGGCCCCTGGCTAACCTCCTCCCTGCTTCCCGGCCATAACTGAAAATCAGGCCAGCTTTCTTGTTTCTGTAACAAAGAAAATCACCCTAACCTCACAAATTAATAAGATTAAAGAAGGAAATGTTTGCAAAAGTGCCAGTAAACTGCAGCTCACCGGGCAAGTCTAAGCCGGCAGCTCATGCCGTGCCAGGGGCATGGAGGAGCTGGGGCTCACAGTGTTGACACCCGCTGGCTGACTTCAGGTGGGCACTAGCGGACAACGGGCAGTGACCTGGCCTGCCCTCCTCCAGGGGCATTTGTGAAGGTCAGAAGAGATGGTGAGGGCTGGAGTTGTCCAGCATAGCTGGGTGAGGCTGGGGCCACAGGACAGTGTTCACACCCAAAGCACCAGGCATGTAGGGTGAGCCTCTGCCAAGAGAGGCCCTTCTCAACCTCTCCCCTCCAGAGCGGTGCACTTCCAGAACAAGTTTCCAGGACAACTCCAGCCCTCTGACCTCCATCCATTTCCACTTCCCTGGCAGAGCTGACTTATTGGTCTCCCCTTTTCCCTGTTGACAGTGATCCATTTCCCCATCTTGGGCCCAGCTTGGGGTGTCAGATAATCATGGGGGACTAGCATGCTTCCGAGGTCAGCAGCGGTGGCCACAGGAGGGAGGCACTGTGGACACTCCTTGGGTCTCTTCCCCCCATACCCTGTGCAAACTCCCTGCAGGGCTGGAGAGCATGTACCCAAAGGAGGGGCTGGGCTGCCTCTGCAGCAGGAGACAGGACAGGGGAAAGGGGACTGGGGTGTTCAGCTTCCCTCTCTGACCCAGCTTCTGACCCTTAGTCACCCAAGGGCCATGTTTTTCTCCAAAGCAGGTCCCCACCCTGCTTCCCAAGAAAACTTTTTCACCACAGCTGGTGTGCGGCCTCCGGTCAGGCACCCTGCAATATCCCCTTCCCAGTTCCTTTCCCCGCCAGTCTGCCAATCCTACAGTTCCAGCCCATGTGGCATCCTTGGAGCCAAACCCAAACATTGAAAGCTGCCTCCTGAGACCTCAATATCCAGCTGAGTAATGACTTCAAGGCAGCTGGAGAGCACAGCTAACAATGGTCTCCACCAGCCACACTCTCGGGCTGTTCCGGGTCGAGGCCCTTACACCCATCACCTTCCTGAGGTGCCAAACAGTCCCCAAGTCAGTGCTCTGGTGCCCACAGGCCCACAGCCACCCGTCTGGTGAGTGGCAGAGTCAACACTCACATAGGGGCATCTCCCTCAGGAAGCTGCCTCTGGAATCCCCACACCACCTCCCAGCCGCCTGGGTATTTATGTCTCCAGCCTACCTCTCTATGCTCCCACTAGCCAAGTTCCAGACTCAGCATCCAGACCATGCACACAGAGGAGCAGCCCCTGGGGTTCACTAGAGCAACCCCAGAGCCGGCCTAGGAACTGTAGGCAACCTTGGAAGGGGAGGCGTAAGGGAGAGGACCAGGGACATCAGGAACTGGAGGGGGCTGTTGCTCCACCTCCTTGTGTGATTCTGGGGCCTGCTGTGTCCTGAGGTGGCTGGACAGGCCAGGAGGCAGAGATGAGAGAAGCAGGCTGGTCGCACCACACCAGTTCCCTGCTTTCCCTGTGCTCCAAGACTCAGCTCACCTGTCGGAGGAAGGTGATTGGCTGCTGCCCCATAGCATGTGCATCCCCGATGTTGGCACGGATGACCTCAGTGAACGGTTTTTTGATACCCTGAGCAGAGAGAAGGCAACAGGTGGTTACTTAGAGGCTGGATTCCACAGACAGTGCTCCCACAGGATAAAATAAGCAGCCCTATTTTGAGCCTTACCGGGTGTCAGGCATAGTGCCAAGCCCCTAACAGGCCTGGTCCCACAGGTCTCGTGGGAGAGAGACAGGGGTCAGCAACAGAACCCACAAATGTCAGGGAGAGGATCCCATAGCTCCCGGGCTCCCTGCCCCCAAGTGCATCTCCACTTCCACAGCCTAAGCAAATGGCCAGGGACACCGAGGCCTCCCTTTTCTGGAAGACCCTGATCAGTAGGGTCTCTCAGTCCATCATTTCCTGGCAAGCTTGACTTTGCAAAATGCAGAATATGGACTGATTTTTCATATTTTTAAAGAAAGGCACCAGGGATGAAAAGACTGGCTGAAGAGCAAAGTTGAGGCCACTGTCTGAGCAACGTGTTTAGCACAGGAAAGAGACGGAGGTACTGAGACCCCGACATTGCTGGGGAGGTGACTAAATGACACCATGCTCTACAAAGGAGAAAAGGTGGTTCAGACAGAGGACTATGGGGCTCTGGGACTGTGGGAATTGCACACAGCTCCCTGATAAACCTAGAACTGGCCACCGGACGAGTTAGACTCAGCAGCAGGTTCCAGGGCTTCCCAAGGCGGCTAACAGGATTATCTGAGTCAAGCGCTATGAAAGCACTTGGCAGTGTACAAATATCATCTTACAAATCCGGATGGGCCCCAGGTCTCAAGGGTCATGGTGGAGGAAGAAGGTGGCAGGCAAGAAGGGGCAGTGAGTGGTGGACTGGCTGGAACCTGGTCACCTTCCTGTCTCCAGCAGCCCTTTCCCCAGAGGGACCCCAGATACAAATCTTGAAGGTGTAAAATTATGGTTTTGACACTTTTCTTTTTCTCCATATGATACAATGTATGTGAATAAAATCAACTTTAGAAGACTTTCCTTTATAAAATCAACCTAAGCAGGGCCTCCCCAGTGGCGCAGTGGTTGAGCGCTGGGCTGCGAAGTTGCCCGCAGCCTCTGCCGCGCCGGTTCGATTCCCGGCCACCGGCTGAGGGTCCCACATGGCGCGCAGACCTCTCCTGCCGCCTGCTGCTCCCCTCAGCAGTGTACTTTGATCCCTCTGCCTGCTCTGCTCCCCGCTCTGGCTCTGGTGAATTCTCTCACCCTCCCGAGCTTCTGACTGTACCCAGTGCCTGTATAAATAAATAAATAAACAAATCTTTTAAAAAAAAAAAAATCAACCTAAGCAAAAACCAGTGGGCTTAAGGGCTTAAAGTAGCTGCCAAACAAGTACTTTTCACTTGCACCCCAAGCATCTCCCATGCAAATTTTCTCCAGCTGCTTCTGGAGCGAAGAGGCTTCCTGGGGGCTGTGGAAAGCACACCAGAAATGGCCCTGCACCTGCATAAACAGGGCATGAAGAGTCTCCAAGAGCTGTTTGGGAACAGGGGAAGTTGAGAGGAGAAGGCTTTTTTTAAAAGATTTATTTATTATGCATACAAGAACTGGGGTACAGGCCAGAGTTGGGGGGGGTCGGTGTATGTGAGAGGATTCACCAGAGACAGAGTGGTGAAAAGAACAGGCAGATCGACTAAAATACTCTGCTGAGGGGAGCAGTGGGCGAGTCAGGAGAGGTCTACTGAGCCATGTGGGTGTCTCCCTGGCCAGCAATTGAACTCGCACTGCAGTGGCTGCGGATAGCTTCATAGTGCTGAGACTCAACCCCTTACACCACCAGGGAGGCCCAAGAGAGGAGAAGCATTTTAATTCCCTTGTGCCCTTCCATCCAGTTCTTCAGGACTGGTCAATAAGAGAAGCAACCCAAGTGTCCAGGGGCAGTGCTGCTCTCTGTTGCTGGGCTAGGACAGGGTGAGGGCGGGCAGCCTGGAGACAGGCCGCAGGGCATGTGGCCTCAGGGCTCACCCCACAAGCAGGAGCCAAGAAGGCTGGGAGTGGGGGAGGGACCCGGTCACTGTGTGCAAAGGGGCGGGCTTGACCCACCCCTTGGCACTGGCCTGGGCTCCTGGCACAGGGCCATCTGTCAGCCTGACTGAACTGCCAGAATTGCCCAGGCCTGGCCAGCTGAACTCAGGTGATTCCATGGTGTGGGCACAGTCCATTCCTTGATAGGAACCTACACCCTGCAGCAGGCCCTGGGCTAGCCCAATGCAGGGAGAGGATAATGCCTGGGGTGGAGCCCTGATATTCTTTCCTATGTGTCACCCCCCAACGCGCGCGCACAGGCACGCACACATACACACACATTTCAGGGCCTGCCCATGAGTCTGGGATCACTCAGCATCTCTTCTCTTGGGTTGGGTAGACACTGTTATGACCAATGAGCCTGGGGGATGGGAAAATGGCATCCCTGAATGGGCAAGCAGATCAGCCTGCCCAGCCCAGGGTGGCCACACAGAAGAGACAGCTCGGGGGAGGCTTTGGCATTGAGGTACTTGAGGTCTCCAGGGATTGGGAAAGATTCAAAGATTCTGCCACAGTGACTCATACAGGCCTGGCAGGCACACCCAACGGTGACTTGGCCTTAGCCCAGCCTCCAGGAGCCAGCCAGGTAGCACACAGGGTCCCCAGTTCTCTCTCACAGCTTCCAAGAGCCCCTTGTCTAATGTCCCTGGACAATCCTGCCTACAGCTGCCCCCTGTGGGGCACTGACAGAAGGTCCTACCCTGTGGAGCTCCTTTTCCACCATTCAGCTCAAGTAGGGATCAGGGGAGTAGGCCCACAGCTCCAGGGATGGCATCCTTGAGAGCTTTGAGGAGAGAAGTTATCGGTGTTATCCCCTGCTCACAGGCCCAGCATCACCGGGAGGGTCCAGGAGACGACACATGATTCTAACGGGCACAGCAATTTCCTCAAGCGAGATGGCTCCCGTCACTGTAGGCCACACATAAGCAGGAGGGCTTGGTAGGGATGGTCACTCCCCAGGAGCCTCCCTCTCACTCAACAAATACAGCAGGTCCTCAAACAATGTCATTTTGTTATAACGTGGATGAGAAAAAAACATCCTGGCCAAGAATGAAAGAATGTTATTCGAGGACTTGTTTTCATCATACACTGTTTGACTTAAAGTCACAGTTCTAAGACCCTGTAGATGATCCTGAGTGAGGACTTACTGTGCTGACGGATCACTCAAGCCCCATCAGAAGAGGGATCGAGGCCGTGGAGACCACCACCCATCAAAGCCCAGGCTGCTGAGGAATAACAAGTAGACTCAGGGAAAGGAGAAGACTAGGCAGCCCCCAGGCCAGGCGCACCCTGTGAACAGACCCCAAAGACCTGGACAGGACCGGGCAGGCAGGAAGTCTTACAGAAAGCTCTAGAAGGAGGCCTCAGAGATAAACACCAACAAGACCCCACAGTCCCTGAGAACAGGTGAGTAAACTCAGCATGGGGTTTAGCCCCAACCCTTCTGGAAAGACAAGCAAAACTGGAAGAAACAGCTCAATACACAACCATAATTGAGAGATTAAGTGGGTGCCCACCAAGGGCCGAGTTTCCGAACCACTGAAGGTAGGAAGGCTGGGTGCAGGCTCCTGAGCTCAGGGGTGACAGTGGGAGGGTCAATCATAGAAGTGGAGACTTACAGAGCAGAAGCAGGGATGGAAGCTGAATTAGGGCCTCCCTGGTGGTACAAGGGGTTAAGTCACAGCACTATGAAGCTATCCACAGCCACTGCAGCATGAGTTCAATCCCAGGCCAGGGAGTTGACCCACATGGTGCAGCAGACCTCTCCTGTCTCACCTGCTGCTCTTCTCAGCAGTGTATCTCAGTAGATCTGCCTGTTCTGCTCCCCACTCTGTCTCTGATGAATCCTCTCAACCCCACACGCACACCTCTGGCCTATACCTCAGTTCTTATATGAATAAATAAATAAATCTTTTTTTTAAAAAAAATAAAAAAAGCTGAATGAGCTCCAAACAGGATAATTCACGACAGCAAGGTAAGGCCCAAGCAGAAGAGAGTGAGACCCTGAGCAGGTTCCCACACCCAGGGGCTCAGGAGTAAAGCAAGGGAACAGGGTCCCTCGGTGTGTCTCCCTAAGCAATTCTCCTTAGCTTGAGAAGAAAAACTCTGGCATTCCGATGGGCTTCACTTCACAGCATCATCAATAACATCTCAAACGAGTCTAGAGGACAAATCAACTGACCCAGTTTGGAAGAACAAACTAAGGCCAAAGTGGAATGACTTGCCTGAGGCCCAAGGCACTTAAAAACAAAGTCCAAGACGTAGGTCCAGGGTGGCTGGGTGGGGTGGGTGGGTAGAGGGTTACTCCCATTGGAAGTCTACACTAAAAATATGTTTATTTTAGAGGAGCATCAAAATTCTAGAGGAAATACCAATAAGATCTCACCTGTGGTGCTTGGCACGTCCAGCATTTCTAATCCAGTTCCTGAGCTAACTGTAAGGTATGCTACAGCACCCTGTTTTCACCGGGGCTTGGATGCAGCGCACTCTGAGTTAACTGTAGTGATCAATTTCCTCCTCCATTTCAGAATGTTTTGTCCCAGTTGTGTGTTCTTTTACAACTAGAAGTCAAGCCATTCTTGTCTCTACTTATGCAAACTCCTCCCCTCCCCCAATAGAATAAGGGGAAAAGTAGGTTGAGGAAGAACTGACAGATCTTTGCAAAATCCTAGTAATTGCAGCTTATTTTTAAGTGCTGCTCCCAATGAACACCAGAATCTGAAGAGCTAAGAGAGTTTCTCCCTTTGCAGCTTCTGTCAGGAAGAAACAGCCTCCCTCACAGAACACAGACCAGAGGAGAAAATGGCCCTTCCACACCCACTTAACCCACCTCTTCTCCTCCCTCAGTCTCCCAAGCATTCTCCACTCTTATCAGAAAAGCAAGGATAAACTCGCCTGGCAAGCCACCCCCAAGTCACACGGCAAGCCACCCCTAAGTCACACGCCGAGCCACTAGTCCAGCTAAACACCTAGGGCACCTGGTGAGCCGATTCCACAACATGAAGTACACAGAGCTACCTAGGGTGTGGCAGGGCAACGAGGCAAAATGCAGGCAGGGAGGAACCACTAGAACAAATCCACTAGAACATGTCTCTCTTTTTACACCAAAGCCCAGAGAGGATCTGCGATTCGCCCCAAGTCACTCCGCGCCCTGCACATGCTTGCTCATCTCATCTCTAACCGAATCAAAACAGAGGTAGAAAAACCGAAGCTGTGAAAGCTGAATCAAGCCAAAAAAAAAAAAAAAGTAAGAAAGAAAAGAAAAGAAATGGCTCAGAAGGGGCACTGTTTAAGCAGGTGGGAAAGAGGCTGGCTTCCAAGGAAGAAAGGTTTAAGGCGGGCAACACTGGCTGGGCGGGGCTCCTGTCTCCAGTGACTAGAGCCAGGCAACTCAAACAAAATCAGAAGAGAACCTGTGAAAGAGCTTGAATGAAAGTACCAGAAAAAGTAGGTGTACAGAAAGGACATCCCCACTAACTCCAGGGCAAGATGTGGGAGTGGGGGGCATCTATCCCAGAAATAGAAGGTGCCTCTGGCTCAAATGACCAAGAAATCTGTCCACTTCAAGCATCAAGTCATACCCTGTTAGAAACCCTTCCTGACTCCCCACTTTCCACCAAAACTTGGCATCACAAAGTCCTGAGTCTGGCACAAAAGACTTCAGCCCACCTTTTGGCTCATTCCTCTCCCACATCCCTCTGCCAGCCAGTGTTCTCCAAACAACACCCATTTCTTCTCCAAGTGCCCAGAACTTCCTATACCCTTCTGTCCTTGCTCATAGCCCTGCTCCCATGTGGAATGTGGTCACATTTTCTCTGCATGTTAAAAAAAAAAAAATCCCAACAACCCTAAAGAATTGGGGGAGGAGTGATAGAGGTCCTGGCCCAGGAAGCAATATGGCAGTCAGCTCCCTGAAGGCAAAAACATTGTCCTAACCACCCTCATACTTCTCAGAGCCCACACCCAAGTTGTTGCTTTATAAAAGGTAGTGGTTACCCCTGGGGCCCTTGGCAGCTCTGGACCCAGAGAAATCACTGTAAAGTGATAAACCATGAACAATTTCATCTCAGCTTTGGTTTAACAGGGTGACTGTTGTCTCCTGGGGGGTCAGCTCCAATTGGCCAGAGAGAAACGAACAGAGCAGAAAAATCAGTGTTCTCTGCCCCTGGCCCACCTTAGGCCAGGGAGGCACAAAAACTGAGCCGGCCTTCAGCAGGCCAAGATTTAAACTTAGCCCTACAAGGAGTCAGAGGGGGACATGGCACTCTAACTTGGTCAGCTCACTGTTTTGAGTCAGCAGAACTGGGTGTCCCAATGAGGTCTCGGCTGACCATGAGATCAACAAAACCCCAGAGTCCCTTAGGGAATCGGGGTGAAATGTTCTAATCCCACCACTGCTTACTCCTAAGATTGTGGGACACTAATTACCAACTTGTCCCCTTCCCACCACAGCCATTCTGAGTCAGAACTGCCCCAACCAAGCAGCTGGGTGACTATTTCATCGGTATCTAACATGTCTTTGGAGTGTTTACTTTTCTGGCACTACTCTTGACTCCGCCTGAGGTTCAGCCAGGTGAGAGTTCCAGTAATCTACAGGGGCATCCCTTACATTCAAGACAGCCACCCAGGTTGGAGGGAGGCAGAAACCACTCCTGGTGTAAAGTGTGGTCACTTTACACACAGCTACAAACTCAAGCCTAGAGTCCAGTTGGCCAGTCATCAAGACAAAGAAAGTCCCAGGCCACCTTCCCAAGATCCAAGCTTCTGACTACCCACCAGGGATGGCAGTCGGCCAAGTTTCCAGAGGGGGACCAAAGGAAGGAATTCTGCAGGATGCTGCTCACACCCTTTGGGCACAAACCTGGTCTCCTCATAGCCTTCTGGAATCCTTCCCTTCCTACTAATGGAATCTCCTCCTCCTCATCCCACCCAGCACCCCCACGCCCCTGCTCTATTCCTCTTTCCACAAAGCACTAACTCAGTCTCTGAAGTCTCTTGTTTATTTCTTTACTGCTTGGCCCTCCCCTTACCCCCAAGGATCTTGCCTCCATATGGGTAGGAGGATTGCCACATAATGTGCACTGGCCGCTCACATTATAATATAATTATAATTCAATGCAACAAGTGAACAGTATCTGATGACCTGAAGGCACGAGTGGGTGAAGGGAAGGGAAGGCATTCTCTTGCTTTGGCCAAGTTTAGGGCAGGAAGGGGACCTGGTCACAGAGTAGAAGACAGTCCGGTGAGCAGACCCCAGCAGGGGACAAGACTGCTCCCCTCCCCTCGCACCACATCAGCACCCCTGGTCTCCCCGAGTCCGCCCGCCCTGCGTCCGGGGAACTCACCCGCCGAAGCTCCATCTCGATCTCGCCCGCCTTGAGCACGATGGGTCCCCGCACCGCGTACTCCACCGCCTTCACCTGCGGGTTCATGGACTCCAGCGTCAGGATGCGCTCGCGCGGGCTCCGCTCGGGCCGCACCTTGAGCACGGTCGAGGCCTCGGCAGCAGCGCTGCTCTGACTACGGCTCCATGGGCCCCGGGTTCGGGGGCAGCAGCCCCGCCGGACCAACGCCGCCGCCCGGTGCATGGCGCGCCTGTCCCTGAGAAACCTTGTCACACAAAAAAGAGAGGGATTTAACAGGCACGTCGCGCACAGCCTCCGGCGGGCACCGGTTCCCCAGCCCCCAAACCCAGCCAAGGGCTCTTGCAAGCTCGCAGTGCCAGCCTGGATCCGCGGCTGGGTGCCCATCCCCCGGGGACTCGGACCCTCCACTGCAGAGCTAAGCCTCTGCATGGCCGAGTTTTGCAAAGGCTGCGCCCAATGCATGCCCACAACGTGCCTGTCGCGGCCGGCAGCCCCCTGCTGCGCCCGGCTAGCGCGCGGGTGTGGAGCTGCGCCTCGGCTCTGGCGCCCGCAGCCGCATCCCAGCTCCCTGCGCCCGCACCGCCCGGCCTCCTGCGCTTCGCACACCCACCGCCCAAGAGCCCGCCCCGGACCTGCCCGCGGGCTCCTGGGCCTTGTAGTTCTCTAGTCTGCTTCCTGAGCAGGTGGGGGCGGTGGCCGAACCACAAACCCCATAGTGCCCCGTGCTGGTGCGCTCTGGGCAGGGCGGGAGGCGGGAGCGGTGGTCCGACTCTCCCTGGAGGTGGGCTGGCCCTTTGTCCCGGCTGAAGGGACCAGGCGGGGCTGTCCTGAGCCTTGTTAGAATTTAGATGTATTTGCAGCTTCTCCATGGAGGTGCATCCACCTCCTGGCACGCTCCTCCCTACCCCCAATACCTGCAAGGACGCAGCCTGAGAGATGGTGTAGTCCTCGCCCTGAGTTTCATCATCTAGGGCCCCACGGTGGCTGCTTCGCTCGACTGGGGGGGCTGGAAAGTAGAGCTTGGGAATTTGGGGATTGAGTGCCTCTCTTACCCCGGCTGAACTAAGGTTTCCTCGTCGGGATCTCAGGGAATCCTTATAACAATTCAAGGGGCAGATAGTCGGGCTTGTTCAGACCACTCGATTGATGCCCTCCCCCACGTCCCTTATCTCTTTATTTCCCTCCAGGTAGCAGTTATTATCTTGCTAGGTATCGAATTATCTTGATACTTTTTTACTGCGTTATGGCCTCCACCCCCTCTAACCATGTAGGTTCAGAAGGGGCAGGCACAGCTTTTGTTGGTCATGGCCGCTGCATCCCTAAGGGTTCCCCTCACACAGCAAGCACTCAGTAAGTCTTGGTTGGAGAATGAATGCTCAGCACAGGGTGGCTATTATTTTTGGCAAAGGCTATCCCCAGGCAAAGGTTTCCTGGTTCACCCAGGGTCAATGCCTGGCAGGAGCAGAAATAGAAGAAACCGGGTCTGAGACATCAGTGTCAACAGAGGATGAGAGAAGTCAAGTCCCTTGTCTGGGTCTCGGATTTTCTGCAAAATAAATTGGATTAAAGGACCTCTAAGGTCCCTTCCCATTTTGGGAATACCGTGTCTAGATGTTTTCAGGGAGAAAACAAACCAAAGCTCCCTAGACCCCCAAACACACACACATTAGATTTGTGAAGCAGGGATCAGGAAGCACTTTAAAGAAGTGTGGGGGAGAATGTACTAGAATATCTAGATTTAAATATAGGTGCATACAGCCACTTACAATTGGCTGGCTTTGAGTGTGTTACTCAAAAAACTTATTCAAAAACTAATTTTATCAGAATAAATTTAGAGATCCAATTGACCTTACTAAGTGGCACAACAATCCGGTAGCATCCCATCTAGCAAGCAGAAAGGTGCTGCAAGGAACTGCAAATGGAAGGTTTTGATAGTCAAAAAGAGAGTGGGACAAGGCTGTTAGCAAAAGAAATGAAAGGTTATTTCCAGTAAAGCCACCTTCCTCTAGGAGAAGGGTGTAGGGGATGTCTTAGTTTTATCATGCTGAATACCTGATTAGTGCTAACCAGGAAATTCCAGGTTATTTGGGTAAAATTCCACTTTTGGGAGAGACTGAGTTAGGTTAGGTATTAAGTCTTGTTAGGCCTTGGTATAAATAACTCAATCTTGGGCCTGTTGTTTCTTCTTTTTAACTCTTTGTAAGCCTAGTTGTCCCATCGTAAAATGGGGTAACATATCTACCTAGTGAGACCACAAAGAAAAAAAATTCAGTGAGTTAACTATATAAAAGCTGAGTTTAGAACTTAGTTCTTGTTCATCCTTGCCATGTGAATGACACATATTTGATTAAATAAATTAAATCAATACTGAAATAAATAAATAAATAAATAAATAAATAAATAAATAAATAAATAAATAAATAAATAGATTACCCATTAAGGGGGTAGGGAAAACAACAGAAACAAAAGATCTGGATGTTTCTCCATTAGCAAATTGGCTTGTCCCACTGAGGGTCAAGTTATTTGGGCTTCTTATTACTGTTTCTAGCCCCACACCAGTATCTATTCCTATCTCCTTCCCAGCCCCTATTTCAATGGCCAAATATTTAGTCTCCAGGTAAAAGATTCTTCCCAAAAAAAACTTTGCTTCTCTAATAAATTTTGCTGTTCACCCTAAGTGAATAGCAAGAAGTAGGCCTGTGTGTTTCCTGCTGTTTCCACCTCTGATCAGAAGGGACAGGGGAGCTGGAAGAGAGGCCAGACTTAGAACAAGAGCACAAATTCAGTTGCACAACTGAGAAAAACACACAGCCCATCTACGTGGCTCCCACGTCATCATTGTGGAAAACAAATTAGTGTCCCAAATAGATCCTCTGCCAACCTTTATGACTGCATGAGAAGGAAGCTCCCTTGCTTTTTTGCAAACCACACTTTACAATTTGCAAAACTCTTTCTTAAACCTGACAGACACCAATGAAGTAGAAAGGGAGGCATTATTACCCCAGTTTACAGATGAGGCTTAGTAGTAAGGGATTTACTTACTTGTTCAGGTGGCACTGTGGTAGAGCAGGAACTGTAATTCCTAACCCCGCGCTGCAGTTCACACACCTGGGGACCAGGTCAGGACAGTCCTCTAGGTTTGAAAATGTGAGCTTTTGGCAATGTACTGAGCCTTAAAAGGCTTTTGGGTGGTGGTTGTGGTGATGATAATCATGGTAATAGGGTGAACTTTGCCTTATTCGGCCCTCGGCCCTCTAGTCCACATGGGGGTGGGGCAAGAGTAAGCTCCTAAATACTATTGCATTTCCCTGTGAGCAGGACGAGGGGACCAAATACATGGCAAAATCTTAATAACCCACACAGTTGGGACAGTTGAATGTTTACAAGACATGGTACCTGTTTTCACTTTTTTTTTTTTTTTTTTAAAGATTTATTTATTTATTTATTTATGCAAGCACTGGGTACAGTCAGAAGCGGGGGAGGGTGAGAGAATTCACCAGAGCCAGAGCGGGGAGCAGAGCAGGCAGAGGGACCGAAGTACACTGCTGAGGGGAGCAGCGGGCGGCAGGAGAGGTCTGCGCGCCATGTGGGACCCTCCTCTGGTGGCCGGGGAGCAACCGGGGATCGAACCGGCGCTGCAGAGGCCGCTGGCAGCCTTGCAACCCAGCGCTGAACCGCTGCGCCACCGGGGAGGCCCTGTTTTCACTTCTTAACAAGTTTTTACTGGGTTAAACTCTGGGATTATAGTGAATCGCAGACAGTCCCTGCCTGCACAGAACATACAGTTTCTTTGCAGAAGGCAGACATTGATTAGATAATCACACATAGAAACAAGTGATTAGGAACTATGATAACTGCTGGGGAGAAAAGGAATTTCATATGAGCTTATAGCCTAGAGGTCTTGTTAGGGGGAGAGGATGTACTAAAGCTAATACCATTCAGGCTTTGTGGACTCCACCTCCACCCCAGACCAAAGCCAAAGACACTGGGAACTCCAAACCCCATCACCACCAAAGGGAAGGTGGCTGGGACCTGAGGGTGGGGTTAAGCAGCCAGGTTGGTATAAAACCAGACACGTGGGCTTTGGGGGGCCCCCCATTTTGGCTTCCCGCCAGCTCGCAGGGTCCGGCCAGCTCTGAGAGTGCCTTTGGGTTTCCAGGTCGGTGGATAGGGTAGGACGCATTAAAGACTATTTCCCTATTTTCTCCCTGAGTTGTACATTTTCCTTATTTCCTTTTCCCTTGTAAATAAACCTTTTATTAACCTTTTGTGTGTGCCTGTAGTGGAGTATTAATAAGTCCCTTTTAAGTGCACGGGTGAGGACCCACAGCCAGGCAACCCGTTCAATATCGGGGCTGCCCTAGAACAGCCTGAGTTCTGAAGATCTCCCAGGAAAAGATGGCCCATGAATTACCCAGATGCCTGGCAAGATGAGAAGGGATAGTAGTACCTGTGGGTGTGGCCGATAGGAATAGGAGTAAGGATCAGGTGACACCCTCCACCTGTCAGTGCTATCTGGGTCTCCTGGCCTCGCCTACGTGCCTTGCTTTCATGCCCTAACTGGAGAACCTTAGCTTAGGGACTGAGCAAAGACTCTGGACTCTCTGGGGCAATATTTGCTCCAGGTCCGCTCTAGGTTGACTGAGGTCCTAGCAGGCCTGCATCATGGTTTTTCTCTCTCTGTCCCATCCTGCCTCCTCCCAGTCCCTCTTACAGGAGTGAATGCCTAATATCCATCAACAGTACACCTCAAACTCCATCATAGTGCCAGAGGTAAGCTGGATAGCGTCCTAGTCCGGGCACCACAGAAGGCCTAAAAATATGAGGAGATCCAAAAAGGCTAGGGTGACTGCAAGGGAGGGGCAGGGCTGGAAGACAGGGGTCAGAGGGCAGTGGTGTTAGGAAAAACAGGCCAGGTTCTGAATGTAAGCATTTTGGTCCTAAGAACAATTAGAAGCCTTTGGAAGGCTTATAGTATGAGAGTGACGTGGTCATATTTATGTTTAAAATTCTTCTATGTGGGGCCTCCCCGGTGGCGCAGCGGTTGAGCTCTGGGTTGCAAAGCTGCCTGCAGCCTCTGCGGCGCTGGTTCGATCCCCGGCTGCTCCCCGGCCACCAGAGGAGGGTCCCGCATGGCGCGCAGACCTTTCCTGCTGCCCGCTGCTCCCCTCAGCAGTGTACTTCGGTCCTTCTGCCTGCTCTGCTCCCCGCTCTGGCTCTGGTGAATTCTCTCACCCTC